CTCTCTCTCTCTCTCACACACACACACACACACGGCGGAAGAGACTCTCTCTCTCTCTCTCTCTCTCACACACACACACACACACGCACACACACACGGCGAAAGAGACTCTCTCTCTCTCTCACACACACACACACACACACATACCGAGGGCGGAAGAGACTCCTATTCGGCACGACGGTCATCTCCGCCGTCGAATCATAATACACCCACACATACCGAGGGCGGAAGAGACTCCTATTCGGCACGACGGTCATCTCCGCCGTCGACTCATTATATTTCGCAGCACCGTCAAAATGTTTCCCCGAGCTCTCGCTCTCTCTCTCTCTCTCTCTCTCCCCACAAACAGACACACACACACACACGCGCGCGCGCGCGCGTCCACCGGAGCGCTTGCGACTCTGCCAATGTTCCACCTCCATCCAGCAGCCTAAAGCGGAAGACAGCCCACGAAGAACTTCATCGACTCGACGGCCAGTGTATTTGCTATAATCTCTCTCTCTCTCTCTCTCTCTCTCTCTCTCTCTCTCTCTCTCTCTCTCTCTCTCTCTCTCTCTCCCCACAAACAGACACACACACACACACAAGCGCGTGTGCATCGCAGCATTCGCAACTTGGTGGCTCTGCCAATGGCCCGCCTCCATCCAGCGCCCAGAAGCGGAAGACAGCCCCAGGACGAAATCCCCATCGACGGCCACTGTATTTGCTAGTTAAAAGGGCAGGCGAAGTCTGGGCCACGGACGCGGACAGATATACTGGGACGACCGCCAGGCTTAAAGACAGAGGAAAAATACCACCAAGGAAGCAACAAAGAAAACATATGGACTTTGTTCAAACAGAGACCGATAGAGAAAGCCTGTGAGAACAGAAGTTGAAGCTTCGTCCTGCCCGGAACTGGAGTACGCTGGCAATGAAATCCCTACTCTGGTGGGGAAGAACAGGTCGACATAGCGACGTGGTTTATTTTTCAAGAGGAGAGCGAAACAGCGGCGGGTAGTGGCGAGGAGGACAAGCGAGGGCGGGAAGCCGGCCGGGAACAGTGCCAGCCAGACATTTCGCGCGCGCTGACTGAAAATCCCAAGCAAAAATAAATTCGATGACACGCCTCAGCTGCAGCTCCCACCCAGACACGCGGACACATGACCTCTCTCATTACATTCACGACGTCATTTTCTCATTCCTACCCCTCCCAATCCCTCCCAATTACAAGGAAACCCTGACCACGTCACTCCCTGTCTTTTACTGCCAGGAACGAAACGGAAAGGAAAAAATAAAACTACAAAGACGGATACGATGCAACGGGAAATCATTGCATTCACGACGTCATTTTCTCATTCCTACCCCTCCCAGTCMCTCCCAATTACAAGGAAACCATGACCACGTCACTCCCTGTCTTTCACTGCCAGGAACGAAACGGAAACGAAAAAATAAAACTACAAAGACGGATACGATGCAACGGGAGAAAAGAAGAAGCGCGGAGAGGGGAAATAAGACCACCGATCAGGAAAGACAACCGAAGAAGAAAAACAATTTAAACAACGAAACACAAAAGAAACCAGGAGAAGAACAAAACACGGAGAACGAGACAAGAAAGGAAAACGAAGAAACCCTCTTCCAAAATTAGTAGCACACTCCGTACTCGAGGACCCTTTTTTTTCATCTTCTTATGATGATATTGGTCAGTCAGCACATCGTCAACTTCTCCATAGCGCGATCCCGGCCGACCCCGTTCACGATCGATACACTTAAAGCGCGCCAAATTAAACGTTATCGACCGACTTCTTCCTGACGTGCTCAGACCCACTCTAGCCTTACCTTGTACTTGCACAACGTCCCAAATATTAAGATTAATACCTAGCAATTGCACAGCGACCCGAATACTACGTTTAAACCGCGCGCACATACATGTGTATCCATATATACATTCATACATGTCTGTCCGATCTTACTAAACACTATACATATCTGTAAATAAATACGCATATGGTATATGTACATATATCGTCAAACAGGACTGCCCGGTATACCGTAGGCAGCGAGGGAAAAGAGGACACCAACCGAGGCGCTGTGACAAACTGTTTCATCGGAGTTCCACCGACTCATCGGAAGAAGGCTGGACCCTCATATACATATATATACATCGTCACACCGTGTAGCGGACGGAGCGCAAAGGCGAAAAAGACAAAACAAAAAAGGAAAGAAGGAAGGAAAGCTCCGCCTGTTATCACCTCTTACATACAAGGCCGGCCACGTGGATGACAGGTTGAGCGCCGGTTGCCCCCATCCCCGTGCGTCACGAGGACCCACTTGCAAAAAGGCAAAGAGGTAAAGAAAATGAGGAGGAAACCAAACCTCACAGACGCAAAAGAAAGAGAAAGGGATTCAGTCAAAGAAAGAAAGGACAAGGGAAGAGGAAGAAGGCCTATCAGTCCAAACAAAGCAAATGACACGCCCCATCTTTTTTTATTTTCTTCGGCAATGTATATTTAAGGTAATAAGCTTCAGTCTCCTTATTCCCTCCACAATCCCGCTTGTGTAAATCACAACTTCCCTTCTAAGGTTCTTCAAATCGATCAAAAAAAGAGACCCCCGCGTGCCTGATAGAAAGATACCAGGCCCCTCCCACCCAGACACGGAGCAGAGAGATGACATTTGACACCCAGACTTACGCTGTATTGTCGTCGCAAACATAACATAATTATCGAGTAAATGACTGGAACGAAGAGGAGCCAGTCATTATCAAAATTCGTCGTTAACATGTGAAAACCCGATAGCGGAGTTCGGTAAACACAGACGTCAGTAATAACACCGGCACGACGACGACGAAAAAAGAAAACGCGAGGCGAGGGTCCCAAAGCACAGCGCCCACAGGAGCGGCACTTCACGACCTCACGGTCGAGTCCCATCCACACAAGTACAATCACCACACCCGTCAGTTTTCGCACTCACTCTAGACCTCGTTTTCTCAAAATCCGTACTCGTCGCCACTCACGCTCGAGTCGAGTCCGCATATAGAGAGAAAGAACCCTAAATAATTTGCTCTTCCATTTTACGTGATTTGTGTCACCTCGCGCCGCTTCTATCTTGCGTTTTTTCTGTTGTTTCTTTAACCATTTCCACCTCCGTTTCTTATTGTTTCCTACGATTCTCCTACCAGCATCTTCCTCTGATTGTTTCATACATACGTAAAACACATCATAGGCATGGGAGACTCACCGTTCATCCTCCATAGTTTAACCTGTCGGTCGTCTGCTCCAGAGACAATCAGAGGGAGGGTAGGGTGGAAGGCTGCCCAATTGACACCCCGGTCGTGACCCTCCAGCACGTATTTCACGACAGCATCCCCGCCGCCGAATAGATCCGTGTTCATCTGCGGCAAGCGCAAGATGTCTTCAGCTGGCGCTACAGTCTTCTTTCGGAGGGCAGAGATGTCCCACACGCGGACCGTCTGGTCCAAGGAGGCGGAAACGACCAAGTCCTCCTTGATATGGAAGGCAGCGCACATGACGTAGTGGTTGTGACCCGTCAGCACCGAAATACAGTTGCGGGATTGCCAGTTCCAGATGCGAATGGTCTGGTCGTCGCTGGCGCTGACGATCCATGGATACTCCTGATGAAATTGGACGGTGCGGATATAATCGAGATGTCCCAGGAGGGTGAACAAGCACCGCCGGAGCTTGTAGTTCCAAACCTTGATCTTGTAATCATCGCCTAACGAAAGGAGAAAACAAGACATCCGTCGGCATTATAGAAAACCAACAAGAAAGAAAACAGGCAAACCAGCACACACAATAGAGCACAGAGAGCGAGAGCGGGGGAGAGAGAGACAAGAGAACACGGCGCACACAGCACAAGAGCACAACAGCAGACAGCACGTCACTCACAGAGGTGGCCTCTCGTAAGAAGTACAGAGGCGCAAAGACGAATGCTGACGACGAAAAATCGCGACAGACGGAAACCCGCTAGAGTGAAATAGAAAGAAAAACGAGAAAAAGCAAAAGTGAAAGCCAAATAGGCAGGCAGGACCGTAAGGCCCTGTTAATAGAATGAGGATTAAAAATACCACTGACATTAAAATCCAGACTTAAAACTCTGGCTCAGATTAAAAATATCAACAACCTGGCAAAGAAAGTCCAAACAAAGGGGAGAAACCAAGAGGACCAAAAAATTCGCTCTAGCAACACCCCAAGTGAGGCAGTCAAAAGGACAGAAACACGAGATAGACAGATATGGAGACAGGATGTGAGGGAAAGGAGACCGGCAAGCGAAGAAGGACAATAAGAGAAGAACAGCACAATAGGATGATGAATACGAGTAGAGAAAGACAAGCTCGGTAAAGGAAAGAGAAAACGAGTGAGGAGGGAAAAACGAGACGAAGGGGAGCAAAATGAGACGAGAGAAATGGGAGAGAGAGGAGAGAACCGAGAGAAAAGAAAGAAAAGAGAAAAGAGAAAGAAGAGAAAGAAGAGGGACAGGAGAGAGAAGAGAGAGAAAAGAGAAAGGACAAAGGAGAGAAAGGAGAGAAAGGAGGGAAAGGAGAAAGGAGAGAGAAATGGGAGAGAAAAGAGAGAAAAGGAGAAAGGAGAGAGAAATGGGAGAGAAAAGAGAGAAAGGAGAGAAGGGAGAGAAGGGAGAAAGGAGAGAACGGAGAGAGAAAGGAGAGAAAGGAGAGAAAGGAGAGAAAGGAGAGAAAAGAGAGAAAAGAGAAAAGAGAGAGTAGAAAGAAAGGAGAGAACGGAGAGAGAGGAGAGAAAGGAGAGAAGGAGAGGAGAGAGGAGAGAGAACAGGGGAGAGAAGAGAGGAAGGAGAAAGAAAGGAGAGAGAAAGGAGAGAAAGGACAGAGAAAGGAGAGAGAAAGGAGAGAGAAAGGAGAGAGAAAGGAGAGAGAAAGGAGAGAGAAAGGGGAGAGAAAGGAAAGAGAAAGGAAAGACGGACTTAAACGGAGGGAATATGTGGGAGGCAGATAAAGTAAAGCATGGAGGAAACAACGCAGAGAGAAGCGACGAAGGGACGTAAGCAGAGGAATGGGGTGCACAAAAACGTTCTTCACGGAGAAGATGCGCGCCCGTGTCCTTTATGTTACCACAAGGAATACAGAGAAGAGGACAATTGTAGCAAGATCTATGCGGTTGGCAAAACTCTCTTGTCAAGGAGCCGGTTCTTCTCACCTCCAGAGACGAACAGAGGTTGCGACTTGTGGAAATGAACCCCCCTAACTGGTCCATCATGCTCGTCAAAGCGGTCAATCAGGGTTCCCATTCGATAATCCCATAGTTGGATGATGCCGCTGTGAAGGCTTGCCAATATCCATGGTCTTTTAGGGTGAAAGCTGAGTCCTTTCACCCTATTGCTTTTCGTCTCGAACTTCGTCAACATGATGTAAGTCGAGCCACGGGCGAGGCGCGGCGAGGTAAAGCTTCCACAGCAACCCTGCGCCGCCCCCTCCCTCACTCACTCACTCCCTACTCTCGTACTTCCAATGCCCCTCCCCCCCTTCTTCCCACCCACTACTTCCCCAAGCCCAACCCTCAACAATTCCCTTGGCTCCGTCCCAAAAAATACCTACACTACAACTGAAGCTGCGTCTCTCTCTCTCTCTCTCTCTCTCTCTCTCTCTCTCTCTCTCTCTCTCTCTCTCTCTCTCTCTCTCTCTCTGTGTGTGTGTGTGTGTGTGTGTNTCTCTCTCTCTCTCTCTCTCTCTCTCTCTCTGTGTGTGTGTGTGTGTGTGTGTGTGTGTGTGTGTGTGTGTGTATGTGTGTGTGTGTGTGTGTGTAACCTACAAAAGCGAGAATATGCGTCAGTACCTCAAATTCATTCCTTGCTATCCCATCCGTCCGTCTCTACCGTCTTCCTAAACTTCGCCCAACACACCAAGTCCCCTAACTCCTTACCGCCACGTCCATCTACACACCAATTGAAGAATGGTTTCCCTGTTCAGCCTATCGTCCCAATTCCGCGTTTTCCTCCCCTCTTCTTTCCCGCCCTTCTTCTTCAGCCTCGCTTCCGCAAAGAAACTCGCAAAACCGCCATTCGTTGCGCCCGTGAGGGCGAATCCAACACGGCTACGTCAATGACGACGAACACGTGGCCACACGGGCTCAGTGGGTGTTGTACACTTTGACTCGCTCTTGCCCTCCTCATCCGCAACAGACCCACTGTTCCCATGGGCCGCGACACGCCCGGCTATGCCGCGGTTCTCCTTGTAGCCTACTTGCACCACAGACCCACGACTACATTCCATTCGGCACAACCCCCTTCGCCGCTAACGCTCCTCCCGCCGTACACCACCCCGCTACCCGGGCATTCAGCTGAGCGACTGCCAATGAGCCAGGTAACTGACCATGGACAGTACACCGATGGGCCACACGGCGAAACAGCACAGGTTCACGAATACCGTCCAGTATTTCCTACGCCGTGCTCTCCGAACAAATTCGCCACATTCACACAGAAAGGGTAGGTTCAGGGCGAATTGCCCATGCGGTACCTCGTAATTGGTCCCCTAATTAGCATTGACGAAAGAGTTCCTGTCGCTAGTGCCTGCCCGAGGGCCAGGCCCCACTAGGTAGGTCTGTGCCGAGGTTCCGGCCCTGCACCCCGGAGCTATGTCGAGGAAGGCTTTGTTTGGAATCTGAGGACAACTCAACTACGGATATCCTCCGTTGGTTTAAAAGCCTGGATGGACAACGACGTAGTTCGGTGGGTCCTACCCCTGATAACCGTGCTGATTTCCCTACAAAGGCCTAAACACAGGCCGGTAGGATCAACCCCTAGCTTTGGCCCGTGAGCTCCTGGTATGGCCAGTATGGCCAGTACTCTTGCCCGTAAGTCCTGAGGACCAGCGTCAGCATTGGACCTTTTCGGTGAGACTTCTCCTGCGCCAGGGTCTCCCTTGTGGCTGGCGAGAGCTTCAAATCGTCTTGTTACACTATCTGCTTATTTATGGTTATTGTCTTCCCCTCTACAGCCACCAGTGCTTGGCCCAGCTATCAATGCCGAGCCTGGAATGGCCCTGCGCGCCAATTTTTGCCGAAACGCCAGGGAACCGTTTGGGCTGGCGCTTCCAGCCAATGTGGCCCGGTACCCGAAACCCTAAAGTCACGGTGCATTAACGGGGAAGCACCGCGGCTTATAGTTGGGCCAAGTATTGGTGGTTTAACTCACCAGTACACCTTACATAGGCCCACGGGTGTCAGTGTAGCACCCGCAACATTTGGGAGGCCGCATTTTTTTTTTTTCAACGGTTCCCTATGCAGCGGCCCCCCTCCAAGTTTTGCTCGTAGCGACAAAAACTTTATGAAAGGTTGGGGCCATGTACTAACGGTTTAAGCCTTGATGAGCATTGACCTACAAATGTGAAAACCACCAAGCCCCTTGCCGGATGAAAGAGGGAGGAACGGTAGTTGTGTTAAGTAATTTATTTTCACACCTATTATTAGAGGCGCAAACAACCCGCATATCGATCTTTGACAATCCAGTGAACCGGATAGTTATAAGGTGACACGCACAGTGATCCCAAGCATCGTTCCCAACTGTACGGACTGACATCAACCAGACAAATCGATCGTTAGACTCCCCCACTTCTTATTCCCCAACTAGTCACAACACATGTAATATTTGAAAACTTAACACAATACTTCTACATCATAAAAAATAGTTTCCAAACCTCATCGATCGATTGAAAAACAAGGGGGCTGCAAAATAAACCTTTGTATAAACCACCGTTTTTGTCCCCCTGTTTCCCCTGACTCCTCTATCAATCTTTATACAATTATAATTACAACGTATTTAGATGAATATTTATTAAAAAAAATAAATGTAGATAAATATATAGGCCGATATTCATGGTATATAGAAAATAAATTTATGAATATATTGATTAATATGTTAAACAATAGAAAAAAAATAAGTGGAAATTTTTTTTTCTTCTTGTGAATTAAGAATACATTTTTTTTATTTTTTTTTTAATTATGTTTTAAATATTTACATATTTAGTAAATACAGTGGTCATAAATGATAACCAGCCAGATATATATATATATATTTTAGATCACCCTCCATAATTTTTTATTATTTGTATAAGATTATTGTCAAATCATATTTTATATATACATATTCTTATTATATGTAATGAATCAATAACATGTAGTTATCTTATTTTGATAATATATAGTTGATATTTTTAATTCAAAAATATATATATTTCAAAAACGTTGATTACATTATACGATGACAATCATAACTTAACTCAAATCCAATGACTTGGCATAATCTTTTTATGATGGTTATATATAATTTTGACATAATCATCTGTTTTTTGCTTATATTATATATTTTTATTATAAAAAAATATTATTTAAATTAAGTGATTTGTCAATTTTACTCTTCGATTATTTAAGCGATTTTTTTTTTTCTTATGTATAATTAATAACATTGGAACATCACATTGGTTAATGATTTTCGATAAAGGTTGCTTACAAAATTGCAAATAATAATCTTTTGATTTATGAACACTGATATATTCATTCCTACTTTGTTCAATAATTAACCGTTATTTTTAAATATATATGTTTTCTTAATATCTTGGAATATTCATACTTAATATAAAAATTGAAAGTACAAAACAAAAACTTAATATATTTTTTTTATCTTATCAATGAATAAAGTGAGACACATTGCATAGTGTCTATAGTGATCTGAAAAAACTCATTCCTTGGTTAGGTACATTGATACTCATACATTTAGTTTCCTGTCCGCTAACCATTACTTCTAAAATTATAATTAATTAATATATTCAAAACTAAAGTACAAATAAAATAGATGCAATATAAATATTAAGGACAAAAATTATATTATTTGCTATTTTTTTAAACAAATTGATTTCGTGTTTTATAAGCATAAAAATATACATGAATTGGATGACATTAAATGAATAAATTCACAATTGATTAATCGATTGATCAAACAAATGTTATTTTTTGATACACTTATATGATTAATAAATTACTTATTATCTATAATTACTTTATTTATCTGTCATACAATTAAGTTAATAATTAAAAAAAAAAAAAGATTTATCTAGTTAATTAATCATGAGCTGGGCTACCAATCGGGTCGCTCGGATCCTGGGTGGCCAACTCGTGCAAGGACCAAAGAAGGTATCCCCCCTTCCCCTAAAAATCCAAAAAATCCTAAAATAAACTATGTTATGTAGACAAATAAACTGTAAATTTTTACCTCAGGGTCATATCGAAATTTTTCACCGAATCTAGAATAAAAATTAAAATTTAAAATATATTTTTATTTTTATTTTTTTATTTATTTCTTGGCTCAGTCGGACAAGTGACCCGGGTCACTCTGGTAACCTAGATCATGAGTATATTTATTGTCAAACAATTAATAAATCACAAAAGTTAACATATCTCTCCCCAATCAATAATTCAGTTAATCATTTATAAAAAATGGTGTTTGCATTCAAAACATATAATCATTATATTTTGTCATTTCATGATCGAAATTTATATATACACGTGCAAACATTACCTTTATGTTTTCTTCATGTAGACAAATATTGACAATCATTAAGTTTTTGTCATTTGCTAATTCATAAAATAAGAAATAAGCAAATATGGTCGACATAGAATCATATTATTCGAACAAATAAATTTACCATGAACAGGGTAACCGGCGTTCGGGACGGGCCGAATGCCCGAACGTATGAGACCCCTTGGGGATGCGTTCGGCCTTTCGGGCTGAACCCGGACAAAAAAAAAAAAATAATAATAATAATAAAATAATAATAAAATAATAAAATAAAATCATCAAAAAAACTGAAAAAATATATGTTATGGAGAAAAATAAATTAAACAACATTTGCCTGAGCATTACATCCGAATTCCTTACCAAATTTGAAATAAAAATAAAATACGAAGAAGAAATACTAATAAAAAAAAATAATAATAAAAAAAATTAGTGAGTGCGCGAGCACGTTTTTGACACCGACATCTTTGGCGATTTTTTTTTTTTTT